GACGTTGGGAAGGAGGCTCTGCAATTCTATGTCTTTGATATTAGCTCCAATTCTCACAAGCACATACAGGCCCTGTAATTGCAACAGGAAAATGCATGATGGAAAATTTCCATAACCCATGCACTAAGATCTGAAAAATCATCCTAGCTAGGTAAGTAATTAAGTGCCAAACAATATTTCTTATGGTTGGGACTGGCCAGGAACTGCTTCAAAGAGAAATAAGCAGATCCCTCTGTTTTATGCTTTAATATTTGGTACCAGGAGGTCAGGAGAAATTAGTTCTGAGGCTGTAATATGGACTTTTTTAAGACTGTGAAATAGTTATTTTTAAATTTAAAAAGATATGCCTCAAACAATAAGGAAATATATATGTATGTTATTAATATAGTGGCATTATAGGGCGGCACCTGTGGCTCAGTGAGTAGGGCACTGGCCCCATATACCAAGGGTGGGGGGTTCAAACCTGGCCCTGGACAAACTGCAACAAAAAAATAGCCAGGCACAACGTTGTGGCGAGTGATAGTCCCAGCCACTCAGGAGGCTGAGGCAAGAGAATCACCTAAGCCCAAGAGTTGGAGGTTGCTGTGAGCTGTGTAATGCCACGGCATTCTACCAAGTGCGATAAAGGGAGACTCTGTCTCTACAAAAAAAAAAAAAAAATTATAATAGATTATATTGGCATTCTCTGTAGGTCCAGCCTGAGGAGTACTTTGTTATTTGGCAAGTAACAGGCTGAACTCAAACTCTTAGGCTCAGGGGATCCTCCTGTTTCAGCCTCCCAGATGGATAGGACAGTATACACACACCACCATACTCAGTCTGTTTATTAATTGTGCAGAGGTATTTTAGGGCAGTTCCTAGATAGTGCTGTCTTTTCCCATATAGACTTCAGTATGCATCTTTTTTTTTTTTTTTTTTTTTTTTGCGCAGTTTTTGGCCGGGGCTGGGTTTGAACCCACACCTCCGGCATATGGGGCCGGCGCCCTACTCCTTGAGCCACAGGTGCCGCCCCCAGTATGCATCTTTTAAGAGATGTTATGCCTACTATCTCTTTTAATCTTCAACAGTCTCTGCTTTTCCTCTCTCCTTACTTTTTGTTATATCATTGTTTTGTTTGTTTTGCAAAAACTAGGATATCTGATTTGCAGAATATCCACACAATTTGTATTTGGCTGAATGTTCAGGGTGTCATTTCTTGCTTTATTTTTTTCGGAATATTAGGGGGTATACATGTTGTGTTTACATACTTTGTTTTTTTTGTACAGGTTTCTTGCTTCTTTTACTCAATATTATAACTGCTTTGTTGTAGTTTGTCCATTTTTGTAGAATGATATATTCCTCAGATGAATATATATGTAGGTCACAATTTATGTTTTTGTAGAGATATCTTTTTCTCATATACACCCCAGCTTTCTTAACCATTTTTGTTTTTCTCTGGAGCATTAGCACTACCCAACATTGCATTACTTACTGGGTATGAAGTGGGTGTCTTATTTCGTTCTCTTGAGGGCAAGAACCAAATTTTTTTGTACCCCACATTCTTTGTATATAGTAAGGACTAATACATGTTATTCAGCTTGCTTAATTTCAGTTTTCTTAATAGTGAATTTGTTAAAGAACCTTCTCTTATCATTAAGATTCTGTTGAAAACTACTCAACCAGGGTTGTGATTTTTTAGTTGCAGACAACAGTCTACTATAGCTAGTTTAAATAGAAAGTGATTTGTTAAAGGAAATTAGCCACACAGGTCTTCCCAGGAAGACCTAGGAACCAAGTTTGACTGCTACACAGGAACAATAGAGTAGCCATACCTTTTGTTTCAAAGGAAACTATTTTAATGACACCAATACAATTCCTGCCCACTATTCAGCTATTAAAAAAAAAAAAAAAAAGACTGAGAAAGATCTCCGTGAACTTAGATGTAGCTATCCCTAGGATACATTGTTAAGTGAAAAAAAAAAAAAGCAAAATAAAATACACAGTATGCTTTTTTATGTGTATTACAAAAGGGAATAATCAGATAGAAAAAACAATGTGCTTACTGCTAGGTGCCTGGTGCCCATAGCACAGTGGTTATAGCACCAGCAACATACACCGAGGGTGGTGGGTTCAAACGACCTGGGCCAGCTAAACAATGACAACTGCAACAAAAAATAGCTGGGCGTTGTGGCGGGCACCTGTAGTTCCAGCTACTTGGGAGGCTAAGGCAAGAGAATCACTTAAGCCCAAGAGTTTGAGGTTGCTGTGA